AATGTCGGGGATCAGCTTCAAGAGCCTTAACGTGACCACCTCTCGTAAGATCCTCAGAGGCCACGGTCGTGAGCACGTACCTGATGCTTCGCTGGTACGAAGGTGGTCGCTCGGCAAACCGATTGGTCTGCTCGAGGTCCTTCATGAAATAGTCGCGATCGTCCATCAGGAACGAGGCTGCCTCTTCGCCGACGTCGGCTCCGATGTCCTTCGTGCTGGCCCCTATGCCATGAAAACCCCACGGTGATGAGGCGCTCGACGTCGTGATCCGGAGTTTTGTGCGGTGGCTGTGAAGATTCGGGATTCGGGTGGCTGCTGATAACCTAGCCGACAGATCAGCCGTCCTCTTCCGAGCCGAACAAACAATGTCGAGCGATCCTCTCGGCGCGCTAGATCCCACTGCAGTTCTGCTCGCACATGTTGGTGTCTTGTCAGCTTGCCCTGTCCCAGGTACCGCGCTCGGTTGCCATCAATAGGCGCGAGCGATCGTCAGGTGCAGCTGTTCAGGCTGACGGATGGATAGTTCTGTTAGAAACATCCTTTCGGCGCCCCTGTTCAGCGATGAGTTTTGCCAATGGTTGGTAGATTTTCGAATGGCTCAGTTCGAGCAGCTCTCTGCTGCATGTGATGGTCCGATCGCGGAGTGCGTGCAGTCGTTCGATGATCTTGCGCCCGCTCTGGAGGATCTCCATGCTCCTTCGAGCCGGAAGGCGGAGGAGGAGATCTACAGTAGCTGGGCACCATCGATCGAGTTGCTTTTCACACTCGTGCGAAGCATGTCATCGATCGGATGGGCAGAGCTTGCCACTGATCTGGGTTTCGACATGGCTGGTAGTCCCATTGCTAGCGGGAGATCTCCGCTCAAAGCGAGAACGGCCGGCGAAGGCCAGCTCGTGCCGGTGCCGTTGGCCACGAGGCCAAGCGCAATCGATACCAGCCAAAGCCAGCCGAAGTTCTCGTTCAAGGCTCAGGAAGCTGGTGAGGCCCGTAAATGGGGAAGTTCAAGGCGCCTTAAAGCGATCGTGGACCACTGTGGTTCGCATCCCTAAGCCGGAACTCGACCCGATCGGGGTCGTTGCCATAGCCCTCCGTCGACGAGCGCGAAGTCACCGGAGCTGGCAGTGGCTTCGTTGTGGCGTGATCACTGGCCACCGCAGATCCACGGGGCCCGATCGAGTAGACTCTCGCTCCGACCTCGAACGAAGTCACGGATACCTTCCATCCAACGAAGACGGAGATCACGATCGAGGGCCGGAGCCATCCGTCATTTGCCGTTCGGATCAGCACCTCGTCGCAGAACTGTTGCTGGACCGAGAGGTCAGAGTCCGACCGGTATCCTCTGAACACCTAGTGGAACACGACCTCGTTGCCACTGAAACATGACCGGCCATGTGAACGGCTGAAAAGCCGTGTGGGACAGAGCTCGACTTGCATAGGAGTCCCTCTGAGCACATGGGTTTCCGGTCTTCGACGACATGGTGAACACCAAAACCGCCTTGAGGCCATCGAGCGTGTGGTTTGCGGGCGGTGGCCGCGGCATTGGCCATGATCTCGTCGACCAGCCAACTCTGGAACGGGCTGATCAGCCGCTCGTCCCTGTTGTCGATCACAAGCAGGGAGTTGCGATTGGAGTGTGCCTCCCCGACCACCACAAGCTCCTCAGGCTTCTGGACCGCGAAGGGGTTGTGGGCAGCTCCGGGATCACCACCCCGCCGACGACGATCGTCGCGGTTCCATCCGCTTCGGCAGTCCCCAGAGGCCGCTAAGGGAGCCGTCTATTGATCTGGCGGCTGAACTTGTTTCGGAGTGTCCAGCCCCCACTGTCCAACTGTGTCTGCTGGAGGGAGCCTCCTCGGCAGCCCGAACTGATCGAGGAACCTGCTGCTAACCGGGAACGTCATGGCTGGTTGGATCTAGCACGCCGACGATCGAAAATCCGGGCCGATCGGCTGATCGCCAAAATGGCCACGGACAAAGTGATCACGGCTGTTCTTACGAGCTGTAAACTGAACTCTGAATTCCTACCCACTAGTCACTAGACCGAAAATTAAGAGACGAGATGAATATTCAATAGTTTAGAATAGCAACATGTAATACTTGAGTGTACTTATATAATATTTATTGCCTGGGTCGTATCTCAGCACCTGACACTTACTGCGAGCGAGCACATGAAAGTGACACAGGCAACAGTAAGCCGCATGTTGCCCGAATGGAGTGATGATGTCCTCAACCTGCATGTTCGTCAAAGGCCATCCTCATCAAAAGGACTGCGTTACCCTACTCTGTCTTCTTTTCGCAGCACGACTTGCCGGTCTATTTTAGGAGCTTGTGCCACCTTGGCCATGCGAGCGAGAGTCTCGCCATGCTCACACGACAACCAAGTTGAGTTGCCAGAGCGAGGCGAAGCACAACCACTGTCCGCTCTCCTGAGAACCGGGCAAGAAGCCACCCATCGTCTTCTCGAGTTCCAGCACCAGCTTGCGACCGCCTTCTTTGCCCTGGCAAGTTGGTGACCAACCTTTGAAAATCCTCTTTGTGCCGGCTCTCTTGGCGCACTTTGCTCCCCGCATGAATTCGGCAGTCATCCTCTGCGGTCGGCTGACTGTCGGCAACCACCGACTTTCAGCTGCTTGAAGCCTGCAATCCTTCGCTCGAAAGTCTGACGGTCGAGACTTCTTGGTGCCGCGTCGACTATTGCTTGGCTGGTGCAGCCGAGGTTCGTGTGCAAAGAGTTTTGCAGCTGAGTGATGGCCTCACCTGGAAAGATCCAGAGAAGTGCTGGGGAAGTGCTGACGTGTTCCTTCTTTCAGCGCGGAAGGCATAGAATCCCTTCTGCAGGTGAGTTGCGTGTTAGGAGGTTTCCGCCTAGGTTCTCACAGAGTCGTAGCGATTCGATCACTGTAGCGCAGCTGGTGAGAATGCCACGGAATTTTCTTCGTCTGAGCCAAAACTCTGATGTCCATCTGCTGCAGCTTCGGTAAAGGCTTTTTCTGAAGCCACTCTGCCAACCTCAGCTTGGCACGATCTCTCGCCTTGCAATACAGAGATTGCCCAGTCATCACTTAGAGTCCAGTCAATGAGGTAGGTGGGCTTTGCTCTTACGGACTTGCCGCAGGATTAGACTGCCCTCCTGACCGCAGGACCCCTCAATGCTCCCAGCGACGTGGCTGTGCCTCCGTCGTCCAATCTTGCTTGCACGAGACCTGGCTGTTGCAGGTTACAATAAATCAACCATGCTGAATCTGTTGGAGCATTTGGCAGATCTCTCGTCTCGGGTGTGCATGTGTGGTCATCGAGCGCAGCCAGCCAAGTTGCTCAAGCATTCCAAGCAAGGGAGGTTGAGGACAGGTAGCATGACTACCAGGTTCGAACCTAAGCCAAGTCGTGTTCGGGAGCATCGTGGCACTTGCAGTTTGCTGGCAACAAGGTCCAATGCTCTGGTGTTCAGCGTACTGAGCTTTTCGCCAACTAGCGAGGAAGCACCCAAATGTAGAACACGCAGTGTTGACGGCAAGGCTGCGCAAACAGAGCCTGAGCGGCAGTCATGGGATGTCGCGAGACCGCCGGCTTCGTTCATAGTGGCCCGTCAAACACCCTGTTCGATGCGCTCTGGTAGGCAAAAAAACGGGGACTCGGCGATGATGCAAGCTAAGCCAGCTAAGCAAGTCCGTCCGAATGTTTCCGCTCTCCGGCCGTGGAGCAGAGCATTACTTGGTCGCTGCCAAGCAAGTTTGCATTCAAGTTGAGCTCTTCGAGGCCTGGTGCAGATGCCGCAAGCTGTCCTGAGCAAGAAGCCGCTCTGAAAAGCGAGCAAGGATAGATAGAGCATGATCTGTCTGCGAAGCTTCAGACTGATGGTCTGCCGAGTTGCTGAAGGAGCTCGGCCTCGTTGCGGTCACGACAAGGACTTCTTTTCTCTGTGCAGCAAAAAACTCCATTTTTGCATGCAAGGTTCGAGAAGTCCGCCTGGCTGTCGGCTAGAATCACACGTAAAGCTCGCGATGCTTAAGGTTCCGTGCGTAACACTTGCAGACCTGTGTTCAACCACATGCATTGTTGTCGGATGCTGTCAAATCTTATGGTTGTTGCTGGCAGGTGGCAGTTGCGAACTGGTTCTCCGCCAGGCTCAGCACGTGGAGCTTCGGTAGGGGCCTGGAAAACTAGCCTCTTGCGACTTCCCTCACTCGGTCCAAGAACACCGTTCAAAACAGCTTAGGCTGCAGCGGGAGTTGATCCAGAAAGTCTTTGACTCCGGCAGGGCCGAGTTTGTTCTGCCTTGGCTCACTTTTGCCCGCATATTTCGTGGACAAAGACCATCGCTTTTGCCTTCCACTGCTGGATTCCGTGCACATTTTTTTTGGCGCACAGTGAAGGGCCGTGTCAAGACCAGCACATCCAACACATTCCCCTGTTTACAAAACGTCAGGGACCAAAAGAGCTGGCAACCATCCGCCATAGGGGCATGGCAGGGCAGGCTCTCGCAAGCGTCGATGTAAGTTGAAAGCTGCTCAAGGGCCAAACGCCCTTACATTTGGCATGTCAACATCGGCTGTTTTCGAGGCAATCTGAAACGGCGTTCTGTACACTGCCTGTGTGAACTGTACGAAGTAGAGTCGACGGCTTGTCGTCTTGCTCCCCATGAGCTGCGGGCTGGTTGCTGCCTGTAACAAGGGAAGCAAACAACAATAATGACCATCATAAGAATGATAACAGTAACAACTATAATCACAATAATCATTATACTTCATTGTCAATGAAACATTCATGAGTACCAAAAAAGATTAAATAGGACATAAGAATTTAATGGTTTCCCATAGTCTTATAACAACAAGAATATTGTTATTGTTGTTACTGATACTAGTATTATTATGATTATGCTTGCGAAGGGGGGGGGCAGTATCACCAAGCAACAGCGCATCAGAACAGTTACTCTGTTCTGCCCGGAAACGGAAACGAAAACCTTCTCTTGACAAGCACTTGCATCTGACCCACGTTTCGAGTCAAACGATAAAGTCCAGACCAAAGAGTTTGCGCACTTGCTCCACCAATGCAGGCATCAACAGGAACAGCGGTCCCACCTTGCACACGGGCCGCAAGTGTGAATGTTTCTGAAGTCTGCAACAAGCAACATCTCCACAAGGGACTTGAACACCTTATCTCCTCGACCTGGGTTTCCTCGTGAAAGCCCTGCCCAACCACGTAAACGACAGGGTTGCTCCAGATGTTGCTGTGAGCCGGTTGGAGCCCCTGAACTTTTTTGCAGACGAGCATCTCTCATATAGGCTGGGATCCATCCTCGAAAAAAGCCGGCAAGGCCACGATCACGTGCGATGGCAGAAACTGCCGAGATGACATGGGTCCGGCTGGCACCGCCTTCACAAGTTCACAAGAATTTCATGATATGATTGAGACAATTTTATGAAAGGACACTTGGCAAACTTGACATCTGAGTGCAGCGTGCGGTTCCGGCCTTCCTGCATGATCCGTGTCCGCACAACATCTGCCTCAGTTCCCAAGCAAGTTCGTGATACAAGACATTGACATGTGTCAGCCGCTTCGGCTCCAAAACTTTGGTTGAAGCGACGCAGGCGTGGTTTCACTCTAAATAAACTAAAGCAGACTTCACGCTCATGAACAGTCTCTTAATGCAAGCCCAAAGCGACAGGAGCCGTAACCGTGGTCCCAGCAAGTCCTGCCACTACTCCGGCGCCGAGATGAAGGGCAGGAGAGTCTGCCACTCCCTGCGACTTGGCCAGGTGCTTGCTGTGCCTGCAGTCAGTTGGCGTGAGTCTTAAGCGAATGCCGTGGTCGTGCCACCTTGCGGACTGCTCAGGTCGAGCAGCCATGGAATTAATGTCCCCTTATTGAACAGCCAAGTGAAGCATACTGCCAAGGTGAAAAAAGTATAGCCCCGGCCACCACGTCTCACGCCTTTTGAACCAGCCGCCTTGCTTTACTCTGTTTCAGGCTAGGTGAACTTCAAGGCACCGAGCTGCCTGGCGGGCTTTCTTCTAGCATCTTTCCGACACGCTTTGAGGCTCAGGGTACTGCACTGACTCCATGTCACGCAAACTCAAGTTTTCGATTTTAGGGCTTTCGCCACTTTAGGTACCTCCGCATGCTCAGGGTTTAGCACTTCCTCCTTCCTCAAGTCGTAGTAAGTCTTAGGGATGCTTTTGCCACCCTCTGCAGGGTGGTCTGCTTCGTTCGGGTTGCCCGTTCAAAGGCTCGCCATGCTGCACCCCTTCCTAGGGTCAACCGCAAGGTTACTCTGGTGAAAATGCTTGAGTCCACACCGAGATGCTCGTAGACCGGCACGGTGCCAACAGTCATGCACACGCTGCGAACCTTGGGGAAGCAGCCTTTGCACTAGGCTTGAGAGACTGCCAATGCTGGCAAGCTCTAGGATTTGGGGAATAGTTATTCTGCGATTTGGCTGTGATTCGGGTCTGCGATTTTGCTGTGACTCCTTTATCATCTGTGATTCGGCTGTGATTTGTCCGTGACTTGGCTGTGCCTTGGCTGGGATTTGGCTGTTCGCCTCCACAGCCAAATCACAGCCCGGAGCTAGGATCCGGCCTGGACCTCTGGCCTCTATGAATTGGCCTTCATTCGGCTGCGAATTTTCTGTGACTTTGGCTGTGACTCGGGAAGCCGCCTCCGCGGCCAAATCACAGCGCGGATCTAGGATCCGGCCTCCACCCTGTGATTTGGCTGTGATTCGGAGAACTCGCCTCTGCAGCCAAATCACCGCCAACTCACAAAAAAATCACAGGCACAATCGCAAATCACGGAATAATCGCAGCAAAAGCACAACAAAACCACAGGCAAATCACAGGTACTTTTGAATCACAGGGAAATCACAGCAAAACCGCAGATATGAACCAGGGAAAAATCACAGCAGAATCACAGAAGTATTTATTTCCATGAGTCCTAGAGGTTGCCGGGGCAGGCAATCTCAACAGTCACTAGGCAAAGAGACGTCTCAACGTGGTCATGCATGGCCATTCCACCTCAGCCGCGGGCGACATTGATGCCCGAGCCTCTGAAGATGTTGAGGACACCGTTGCTCAACACAGCTTTGAAACCCGACACCTCGTCGAGTGGCGCAAACAGCAACATTCGTAGGCAGGGTGTCTAAGGTTGAAACCATGGGCCCTTCACCCTGGGATCCTTATATACCTCCTGTTTTTTCCCTGTATGTACCCTTAAGGGTCCCTATTTAGAATCCCCCTAAATGAGGCCCCATATTCGAGGGTAGATGTCACCCGATTTCATGCCAGAGGATGCTTGCACAACATGCCGGGTTGAGCATAGTGTCACGAAAGCTGAAGCAGAATGTCGCGCGGCAAAAGCGAGTAGTATTCGACAGGAAACCGTGCCGCGAATTCGTTGAGGTTGTCCGGCACAAAGTCCCGTCGTAAGAATTCCGCTATCGCATCTGCCGGCTTCGGCTTGGACCCTCGCGGAAAGGCTCTCAAGGTGCTAAGCGTAACACGCTGAAGAACATAGATCTGCGTCACTGCCGGCCTAATCCGCACCAAGTCGAAGGGCGAAGCGAGCAGGCCAGATAAAGCCCCAAGTACCACACCGGCGCTGAACTTGCTGCCCAGGCCCGCCTGAAGGCAAAATCCGAAGATCTGGCAGCAGCAAAAGGAGAAAACCGTCTCTCAGGGCAGCCAAGAGGCCTCCCCACCACTCTTCCCCTGTCCGCTTTGAGCACAGAGGAACACTTTGGGCCTTTGGGCGCTTTTTCCATGGTCTTTTTTGTGTTCTCTCTGTTTTGTCTCGTTTACCAGGTTTTCTCATGTTTCGGGACTTCAGCTACTGTGGTTGGGCCGGTTAGGAAGCATGATCCAGCTGTGAAATCTCTAGATCAGTTCGCTCCCACTCGTTGCACAAATTGGTATCCTGTGCTGGCCTTCGCAACCATGGAGAGGCCGTCTCTAACTGCTGGATATGCGCCGATGCGGGTACCAACCACGGTGCATTCGCGTCCTGGTATTCGCAAGGCTGTGGTGGCTGCCAGAAAACTCTTGTCGATGTCCTAAGGACGCCAGCATGCCGGTGGACCACAGCGCTAGCAATCCTTCAATGCACAGCTCAGTGACAGTGGCCACGCGGCAAGTACGACGCAGTCACATCTCCTTCCTCTGCGAGAACCCGCTGCGCGACAGTGAGAAAGCCGCCCGTGTAAGCTGGCACTGTGCAACCTGGAGACGGGATGCCTGTCGGGCCGCACATGTTGCTGCCACCACTGTGGGCAAGTTGCATCGAAAGGCCTTGCATTCGGGTCTTGATGACATCTGTCCAGTTCAGGGCCAACGGCACAGCTGTGGCTGCAACCATCGCTGCGCCGATTTCCTTTGCAGGGCTCGCCATGGCACTCGAGAGCAGTGAACCACTTGTAGTGGTGTGGCAAACGTTCGCAAGAGCGGACCAATACGTTGAGTTTCTGTCTTTTAGAACTGGCTGGTTGAAGGTCGGCATGCATCGGGGTTGGACGTCGCTTGTCTGGGTTGCGAGTCGTCGTCTTGCTCAAGTCGTACCGCTAGCTCCAAACGCCAAGTGCTACAAGCCACATGATGGTTTTGACCCCTCGCCCACTCGACTCTCTACAGAGGTAAAGGCAGCTTGAGCAACAAGCTGCATCATGCTCCTGCTGGAAAGATGCTTGAAAGGAGCCAAAACTCAAAAGAGACTAAAAACCCGATGCCGCATGTCTAAGTTCGGCTAAGTAGCCCCACGTCCAACCTTGAAATACTGTCGCTCATCGACCGCAACAGGCGTGGCAGCACTTCAGTGTCGCTGGCTCCCAACCAATTGCCCCGTACGTTCAGCGACTCCAGCCGTAGATTCGATTGCTGCAGGACTGCCAGCCCCACCGTACCGAGTCCATTCAGAGACAAGTCCAAATGCTTGAGCGATGGTGGAAATGCATTCGCAAGTGCTGCTAAGCCCACAGGCCCAAGTCCGTTCCCAGAGAGTGCCAGGCTTCGGAGTCCTGAAACCGGCAGCAGCTGAGCCAGTGCACCTGCCCCTTCCTCAAACATTGCATTCTGCGAAAGGTCGAGATCCGAAAGGGAGTTGAGCATTGGTGCCATTTGCAGCGCACGGCACAAGTCAAGAATTTCCGAACTTTTTAAGTTGCAGTTTCGCAGTCTTAACGACGTGAGCGGCAAAGGCGGCAGAAATTCGAGCAGGAATGCCATGATACCCTGGTTTTCTACGTCCATCATGTTTTCCACGTGAAAGTCCCGGAGGCACAAGTCAGCTGACTTCGGTAGCTCAGCCAGGAATGGAACCGCACTCTTCCCATCTGCCTCGCCTGACCCTCGAAGAGTGAGCTGCCTCAAAGGAGCAACCGGAGTCGTCAGCAAGCTGCGCCATATCCCAGCAGCACGTAGCCAAAATGCTCTGGCTTCCTGCTCGGACGCTTGAGCAGCTTGACTGCTGGACTGAAACACAACTTCACGCAGCCGAACGCAGTGAGTGGCAGCAGTTTGTGCCAGGCCCGGCGAAAGGTCTGGGCTGACGACCAAGCGCCAAAGATGAGCTGCTACTAGTTGTAGCCAGTCTTGCGCGAGAATTGTTAAAGCAAGTGCCTGCCTTTGTGGCAGCGATGACAGAATCCTACTCAAGACTGCAGCATCCAGCTGCACTAGCAGATCCATGGCTCTACAGCTACTGCCCCTTTCTTCACTACTGCACTTCGAGAAGAAGCAGCGCTGACGACAGCTGGGAAAAGTCATGAGCATTCACAATGCGAGATGCTCCTGCTCCTTGCTCTGCTCATCTTCTTCGTGCCAGCTATCGAGTGCCCAAAGCTTTGGAGCCTCCAGTGTCCAGCTGCTGCCCTGACGAAGCATCGACTGAAAGCAACTACAAGCCAAGCTGATGTGCTTCAGTACGACAGTACGAAAGCACATAAGTGGGGCCTCAACATCAATCTCTCCACAGAGGTTGCCGTCGATGACCGGCCGCATCTTCAAGAAACTAGTGACAAGTGACAGAGCAGATTCATAGCTACGTTACAAGGCTTGGGCAAAGGGGCCTTTTGGTGCCATGCCATTTTGCTGTTCGCCTTCTACGGCCTGACCTTCCTACAATCCCTCTCGATTTTTTGGCATCTGCTGCCGAGCCGTCGCTTCAACCTCAACTGTCCAGGATTGGCCAAAAGCCATGATGACCACTTGTCATGCCTAAAAGAGTTGCCTGCCGGCTGAAGAGTACCGTGCTTCAATGCACGCCGGCAGGACAAAACCGGTGGTTCATGACTACGGGCCGACTTCCGTGCCTCGTGGCCCTTGACATCGACTAGCAGCCGTGTTGGCTGCATCTTCACCTGAGATGTGCAAACGAAGAACTGTGCGTGCGTGCACGTGCGTGCGTGTGTGTGTGTGTGTGTGTGGGGAACTCTGTCACCAAG